TTTCTATAGTGACTAGGAAAAAAAATTCTAACAAGAAAAAGATCCCATGTGTAGTAATTGTGCATATAAATCAAGTGCTACTTTATCAAAAGAGAGCACTAAGAGTAAATTTGGTTTTGCTGTACCACTATTATTGAGGCTACTTAGAAGCAAATGGAAAGCAAAGGAAACATCCCCACACCTCCAAGAGAAGTATCTCCTTATGCAGAGCAGGCAATTTCCAGAGGCATGCCTTTCAATACAAAGACAAACCAGAACACAATCACATTGCACTATCATTATCAAAAAGGTTTCAATAAGGCTACTTGTCTGTCCTTTTTAAACATTAAATACATAAAGTATGATAGCATGAAGCTGTAAATCTTATTTATGCTAATCATGCTTGGAGGAGCAGTCCTGCTGGCAAAACTTGTGGGCATAGAGACAGTGCATAATGATAAAAGAGGACTCTGGCTGGTACAGTTTGTACCTCCCTGGGGGAAAGAAAACTGTTGGAAAGAAAACGCTTTCTGCTGGTATAACTGTGTCTCAGCCCATTTTTTTGGAAACAGGCTGGAAATATTGGTCAAAAATGTAAGCGATCTCTTTCCTAGCCAATATCAGAAATCTGTCATGGACTTTACCCTTCTTTATTTAGTGAAATAAATTTATTGGAGTCTAATTTGTACTTACAGCAAAGCCAGTCAGGGAGCAACAAAGAGGCTCTAAAATCCGTGTGAGCATGCATCCCTGTTAGACCTCCTTGTGCTGCCAGAAGGGTGTAAATAGACCTCAGGCTGGGGGAGAAGCAGCCTGCAAAGTGTCAGCCTCCTTCGTTTTCTTTTTCAGATATCAATTTATTATTGTCTGTCAAAAGGCATGGCAGGAAAGCACCACAATTAAAAAGGCAAAACAAAAGAGGAAAGTATTTAACCTCCAGGGGGCATATGAGAGTTCTGGGAAGAACACTTAATGGGGATACAGAAGAGGTGCATCATGAGAAGCTAAGCGCTCTGTGCGAGAGATGTGTCAGGGTCTGGGAAGTGACTTAGAACTACACAGTAAATTTAAAGCAGTGAACTGGGAGGTGGAGTATAGGGGAAACCTGTGTAGAGGAGGAAGGTTACATCTCCAAGGGGCTTAAGAAAATAAGGTTCATACTGGGTTGCAAAACAAACATAAACAAAAATCAGTGTTGGAAATAAAAGTGAAAAGGAAGCTTGAAGACCTGCCAACCCACCTGAACAGCTGGGTAACATGCCAGAGTGAGGAGAGAACTAATAAGCCTTATGGTATCCATCCACACACAATGCTTATTGAGGGGCTTGGAAATGCCCAGAACATTCCTGCTTTTTCTTTGATTCAGTGAAGGATCCAATTCAGAATTATTTGGCTTTTGCAACTAGACATAGTGAAAATAATGACTTGGAGCCTTCATCCACCATAATTCCTAGCTCAATGTATGAATTATCACTGGCATTTTATGTTAGCATGTTGTCCAGAGAAAAAAACCCCGTACACCTGCTCAGCCTTCCCTGTGGCAGGCAGTGGCAGAAGTTCCGGTTGGAAATGCCCTAAACTGCTCTCCAAGACCACAGGGTCCCAGAGCAAAGCCCGGGGCATTTGCAGCACAGGGTTACCAACTCTTGTAAGTGAGCTCAGCAAGAGGGCTTTCATTCCTTCTGCCTGAAGACTAACTCACAGACTAAACATGTTCACTGTGAGAAAGCTTTCTCTTATATACAACATTTTATTGTTAACAACTCAGTGACATACCTACCCCTCCTCACAGTACTTCCCTGTCTTCTCAGTGGTGGCAAGGAATGTTTTTACTTATTCTGCTCCACTTTTGGATGAAATCATGGTCCCACTGAATACAATATGCTTTGCTGCCTCAGTAAGAGCAGAAGTTTAACACTGGAGTCTTCACTTGCTGATGCTGAGCTGTATCCAGCAAACACAGGGCCCTTCCAAGTCATTGCTTAGTTAAAGTATATGGGTAAAAGAGTGCTTGGTCCTGTCTTTTGCAGGCAGGAAAAAAGTTCTGTAATGACAGACTAGGTAGCATAGCAGATTGGCAAATGCTAGTATTAACAAAACTACCTGTAATTTTCACATATTAATCGGGTGAGTAAAACACTTAAATCTTAGCTATCATATTAAAACTACAGCTGCCTGTGTCATATAAGAATATATCACACTAATAACAATATTAGTCTTCTTTGGTTTGTTTGTACTTTAAGCATCTGCTTTTAAAAAGGTGTATATTTATCCCGTGTTCGTATTCTTTCCTCTTATTTATGTTGCTATTAGCCTGGTTTCCTCAGGAAGCAGTCTATGAGATATTACTGTCTCTGTTAATCTCTCCACCTCCCAGACCATTTTTTATGTCACTAATCTAATATTACCAAACTCCTGGGGTCCAGTCCATGTCCTAGAGGTTTAATAGAAAACACTGGCTGGGTAGTAGGGAGAGCTTAGTTAAAACTGAGAAGACAGGGAAGAAAGCTCAGGCTTTAGCTGAGCCATTTGGCATTGCCTGACTGGACAGACATGAGTGTGAGACAACTAGGCAACACTTTAATTGCTCTGAACCAGCAACCACTTGTGCTGCTTCTTGTCCAACTGTTGGCATGTGGGTGGAAGAGAGAAAAATAGGTAAATAGATAGAGGGATGTAAAGGAATCCAAAAGTAACGTAGAAAAAAGATGCAGCAGATGTGTCAGAAAACTGAAAGAATCAAGACCTTGATGTAGCGACTAGGACCTGGAAATAATTGAACATACTGCAGGGAAACATGGAGATATTATACAAGATTTAGGTAAGGCTATGGATTTAGAGGACATCAGAGATGGCAGGAAACAAAATCCATTAGTTCAGCTGTTCACAAACAGCTTGTCTGTTCTCCGTGTCATGCTCTGTTGTGGATATATTTGACTTACTTCAGGCTTAAGTAGTAAACATAGGCTGAAGCATTGTCTACAAAGCCTTAATCTGGAGAGATCACTTTCAGGCAAGTTTCATACGTCTTCAGTGCTATTCTTAGAAGGGAAAGCAACACTGTTCTGATAACAGAGATGTAACTGAGTAGGTAACAATACGTTAGGATGTTACTTATTACAGATTGGCTTAATGTGCTGAACTCCATGTCTCTTTCTAAAAACTAGCAGTCTGGTGAAGAAAAAGCTTAAAAGTCTAACGTTGCCCACAGAGCTAAAGTTCAAAGATGAATCATAAATTCAATGTGGTTTACTGAAAGGCGAACTGTCTACAATTTCACAGAACAACTAGCTCCTTTCTCTGAAGGAGATTACAGCTGCAGGGCTCCTGATGATTCCCAAAGAGGACAAACACGTCTGCCGTCTCTGTTCCAGCAGCTAAGTGCAGAACCCCTCAAACAGCACCTGTTTCACTGCACTGCCTCCACCACGTTCATGCAACACGTGTTGCCAATATGGTATTTAAGTGAGATGGTAACAACTCCAAGTTAAAACTTCATCCGTGTACTTGCTTCTAAGGAGAAGCTGACCGGAAACTGTTGATTGAATGAGGGTCTGCCTTACAGGTCTTCAGGACTGTGCAGTACACTTTCTTTGCAATAACAGGCTGAAAAGATCTGCTCCAGGTTCCGTGGATGCTGAAGCCTGTTTCACTTCAATATTTGTGCCAGCATTGTCTGAAGTTCCTGGACACATCTCGGCAGAAGCCACAGTTCCCAGATCCAGAAGTGATGGCCACACAAAGCACTAGCTTCAGAGACTACTAGGATGATTCTGTATGGTTTCTTTTCCAGAAACAAACGGGAAAAATTTCATGCATCACTGCGTCAGAGCTTTATTGCAAGCAAGTGGAAAACACTTGGAGCAGAGCACATGAAAACCACATTGGAATGCCATGATTTTTGGATGGCAGACACTGTACCTGACTGCTAGGTCAAGCTGCTCCTACAAATGAACAGGTATATTTACAAGGGTGGGGGAAGAGGAGGATGGAGTAATGTACACTGTAACCAGACTGCCATGTACTGAGAATTGGTGAAGTCCCTGACAGATTTGTGTTCTGATTAAATAATTTCAGAATATTTACACCTTGCAATTTACAGAAGTTTCTAGCAGCAGCAAAAGTAGCATTGTGTAAATTCTGTCCATGATCCAAATGTGTTAGCCTGAATGAAATCTATTTCTTGTTTTCACTGTTCCTAAATTACATGTTGCCACTATACGTACCACTTGGTAGCAGTAATATGTACAACAGATAATTTAATTCCTACTTACTTGTGGAACATCCTATCCAGTCATTAATGTCTGCTAGTGGTGTATAAACATAAGAGCTTTACTGCTCACATCTGGACAATGCACAGCTGCATCTGTGCTAAGAATGCATCTCTGCTGTGAGTGTGGAATTGACTGCACTGGCTCTTACTAGAGCTGTACTGGAAAGTGGAAGCACGAGGAATCACAGTGCAAAGGTAACTTGGCAGCTTGTACATGCAGTGCCATGCAGACGTCATTATATGCTTTCTAGACTTTCACATCTGGAGGCATTGCGCTCAACCGTGTGATTTTGCCAGTGTGAGCTGGTATCATTAATTCTGGGATTCCCATCTTGTGCTTACAAGGATAGCATAGACAGGCTCCAGAGTTCAATTATTGATATTTTACTCTACTATTTTTAAAAACTATGTATTTGTTAATGCAGTGCATGTCACAATGCAAATGTGTTTACATTGGCTTGTATTCAACTTCCAAGCTGCCAATATTGTATTCCATTCCCACATCAGCTAGCCTGGAGAATGAAGTCATCAAAAAAAATAGTGTATTCTGGAGCTTTGTCACAATTAGACATTGTCTCAACCATAAAAATACTTAAAATCTTAGCCTTTTCCCAATAACTTGAATACAGAAGATTCCATTTATATACCTCTATCTCTAATGGTAAATGATGATTTAATTCTTTTCAGTAATCCAAACTCATCTGAACCAGGTGGTAGCTCAAGGCTTCATGCTGCTGTTTAGACTCACCTTCCCAAAGCTGGCGGCATTAACAGGTTGCGTGTCATTTTTCTCACAGAAGTCCAAGTAATGCATGTAGAGAGCACTTCGAGGAATGCAAACACCTTCTGCAATCTCATAGTTCTCTTCCAGCCTTGAAAAGCAAATATCAAACAGAGAGAACTGCAAGTATGTTGGATGTCCTGTATGACAAACAGTATACAAAGCTGTATCTTTAAGACCAAGCATTCTGGCTTCTACTTCTGTACCAACTGTTCCCTGCTTTGCTCCCAAGTGCTCCTTCCAATTCACTTCCATAACACTTACTTGCTTGATTTGGTTCATACTGCCTATCAAAACCATAGACTGTGAGTTCTCAGGCAAGTTGAGATTAGCACAAAGGGATATTGGGTTTTCACCATGCTCCAAAATGGCAGTTTTCGGAAGAAATTTCCTCATCTTCTGTTATACTCTAAAAGCATTCTATAGTAAACAAATGTACAACTACAAAATAACATTCACTGGGGGGAAGCATGCTCTGATTCATTACAGGACAGGTCACATTTGGCTCATGACACTCTTTTCACCGCTGTCCAGCTGCAAGGTTCCTTACCTTAAGAAAGCAGATGTGGCTAAAGCAAGTTATTTGCAAATACTCAGGATATGATTTGCACAAAATCATATTTGTATGATGTTTTCTTGCTATAGGTTATAGATAATGTAAAAAAAAAGACCCCATGATCTGAATACAATGCTGAATAAAACAATGAAATAACATCCTCCTCTGTCTTGTAGAAACTATTATTATTCATTTACACACAAAAAAAAAACAGCTATAAGATTTTAAATTATGCATCAAACATATGAATAGACATATGCTTAATCTTTAAAATCTGAAATGATCTCAGTAAGATTTATACCAAGACCAGTATAAACAGACTAGAAGAAACATTCCTTTGAAATAACATTTTAATGATCGCTGATCTAACAAAGTTCAAGAGGTATTTACATACATGCTTAACTTTAAACCAGTAAACTTAAACCCATCAATCTTGTCATCCATGGTGTCACTTGTATGCATATATAGTTATATGTGTGTTTGTTTGCCTTGCTGGCTAGGAGAAGATAGATGCGACTTCCTCCTTAAACGTATTAGAAAATTATTACATATCCTCCAATTTTACAGTAAACTGCCTGTCATTTGATAGCTATAGAACACCTTCCAAATATCTAATTTGTCCCCTCCATTGCCTTTTTCAGGACCTACGTACCTTCTATTTCAGTTATCGTGATCATTTGTGACTGCAAACTATTTTAATAAGATATCCGGCTAGATGAATGGAATCAGTTTGTATGGGCAACATCTATTCTTCCTTGGTTTCTACAGAAATATCGTCATGGCATCTTTCCTCAAATTCATAGCGCTTTAACAAAACCTCCTTTCAAAACCAGGAGAGTTCGTTTGTATACTATAGCTGCTAATTGGAATGTCAGCTTCCGTGACCAAGACAGGACAGAAAGAAAAGCAGTTAATTATTTCTGTTCATATCTGATGAATTTTTCCCTTTTTCTCCTCTCTTTCACAGAGAGTCATTAGTCTGACACTGAACAATGATCCATTATACCTGAACTTTTTTTTTAATGATCAAAAACCCATCTTGCTCCACTTCTTTTATTTTCCTGTCTTTTATTTAACAACTTTATCATATTTTGAATTCAGCTTCATTCTACAGTATTATAGAAAGATAATGAACTCAACCTTCTACCTAACAAATCATTACCAAAATATAATATAATAATATATATATATAACATTTTAAATGTTACAATAAAGCCATGTGAAATCCAGTAGTCTTCAATGAGACCTTTTGTATCACTACAGTATAGCAATAAATCCCCTAAACCTTCTACAGGAATGAAAATTTTATCTGTCCCTATTACTGTTTTCCTCTTTATACACTTACATACTTCTGGATTAAATTACATTATTCTATAGCAGAATCAGGCTGGGTTTTAGTTATGAAGGCAAAAGAACAACTCTGGTATTAACCATTGCTAATCACAAAGGATTCTAGAACAGATTAGTTTTGAAGCATTAGTAGTTTCTCAGAAATTGCTATACCCATTATCTAGCAATGCTTTACCTTCCTCTTTTTCACTTATTTTTATGAATGTTGAAGAAAATAGATAGTTTTGTTGACTTTAGCTTCACAACACTGTTGTTATGCGGAGCACCTACACTGTAAGCAACTAAACTGCATGGAATTAGGTTGTCCGTGCTTTGAATAATTCTGTGTTTGCAGAAATAAACACACACACTCCAAATGAGGTTAAATAAAATTTCACACTTACAATCTGATCAACCAGTCCACTAATGAAATGATCATGAATGTTTTAGAGCCAAGTGTTTAGCAAGGTATAGGTTTATAGATGCTAATGAAATAGGAACATGGGGTAAGAACACAATGCTAGATACTGGCATTGCCATAACAGTTAAATTTGTGCTCACATAGTTTCCCCAATTATGATGTATTTGGCAGTAATGTGACATTTACCAGGCCTTTCACTTCATTTTCTATCACAAACAAAACAAAAACACCATTCCTGTTTCCAGGAAAAGGATATTTAGCCAGGCTGAAAGTCATCCAGAGATGCTTTTTGGCATCTTCAGCTACTTCTTCCTTATAAATGAGGACATTTATAGTGTTCAACACACTTTGCCTTTGGAAAGGCTTAAGCATCTCCGTGGGATTGATGTTGTTGGTTTTTTTCAGCAGGATGCCAGGCAAGGAATAACTAATAAATTGATGGCAATATGAACCCTTTATGTATTGCCATTACTTCTTGCTTCACTTACCCTACTACTTTCTTCCTCCTCTTTTTGCTTGCTACTGATACTTCTTCTGTTTTTGCTCTCTAACACTCCATTGCCATCATTAGCTGTAAATGATAGTGGCATCAGGCAAAACTGTTAACCATGTAAAGCTAAACCTACAGGAAGTGCTCACTGAAGCACTTGGATATGTTGAGCACAACCATGGGTTGCTAGCTGCTTCTGTAGTACACATAACCTGATGCTACGCATCCAGCTTTCCAGATAGAAATTCAGTATCTTCACCCAAAGAAAGCTTACTCCTTTAGCAATTTACCGTACCTTTTGAGCTCATAATTTCATTTGATGTATCAAACACAGTTTCTACAGGAAACACCAATTCAAAGCTGCAGCCATAGGCTGAAAATCATATGAAAACCACCCAAAAACTGTTCTATGCTATAGCTACTAAACTGGGAAACTTTTATCTATAGATCTATTAATAAATGAGCCAATCATATAATTTCGTTTGACAGCAGCTAAAGAAATCAAATTTGAAAACTTCTTTGCTTTCTGTTCTTCCATGTAATTTTAGGTAGAAAATGGAATGGAAGAAATTACAGATGCTCCAAAAGACTCAAAGTGGAGAGTGTGTGACCTGGCTAAATGTCTAACAAATACAACACACAGGTAGTGAGCCAGTATACTAGCAAGGTGGAAGGGAAGATGATGTAAGCAGCCTTTCCAGAATCAAAATTCTGGGATTCTATTGCAAACACTGCTGAATGAGCATTAGCGTGCATGCTGCATTCCAGCAGGGCTCAATATCCCAGGAGTTTAGGGATTTACTAACCTTTATGACTGAGGAAACTTGAAAGCATTTGGCAAAAGACTGTTTACAGTATTTGCATGTTTTCTGTTGGGAACAGTATCACTGGCATGTTCTAATTAACTCTGACTTCTTGGCTACTACATTATTTGCTCTTAACTGACTCTACTGCAAAATAAACACTGTTCTGAATTTGGGACTGGTAAGCCCTGCCTGCTATTTTATTTTAGTTAGATAGTTCTTTGTTATTTTGCTTGAACTGTGTTGAAGTTATGTGTGTGAATAATGGAAAATAATAAAATAGCTCTATGACATTTCACTATTAATTTAATGATTTTCTCTCTGTCTGTAGAGACTCTATTCCTTTTTCGTAAACTTCTAAAAAACAGCACTTTTGTGACACAAATAGGTACAAGAAAGCAACAGTTCAGAATTAACTGCCTTTATTTATATTTGTCCATGTCATTACCTGCACTGGAAGTATCTGCAAGCTTCTTCAAGGCAGATCAATGAATACTTGGAGCAACCTACTAAATCAATGCACAGGTCTTGGGATTTTTTTAAATCTGATATTTGACTGATCAACTTTAAAAGGCAGAAAGATGAAATCATCCAGATCTTTTTATGTGTACTTCACAAAATCACAGGATTTCACAGGCAGAGAAAAATGGTAATATTCACTGAACAGATGATTCTTTGCTGTTTGGTCAGTGAGTCCTCTCAGGAGACTGACAGAAGCAGAAAAAATTTTGCCAACATTTTGTTAAAAACACGCAGATATTTTGCCAATAATCTTATCTTTTCACCCATAAAACTATGAGAACTACTTACAGATGAAGTGAAGGCCTTTCTCTAAAAGACTTAAAGCAAGCTAACAAGTATGGGTTTTCAGATACGCATGCTCTGAGTCTTCTCTGTAACAGAACTCTGTTCTGCCAGACACAAGTAACCTCCTGAAAGATGCTTGATCACTTGCAATATTAAGAAAGCTAAACCAGAATTAAAAACCTAAATTAAGGGAAAAGTCAACAAAAGTCTAAGTGATAACCTATAGAAAGGGATATTAGAAGTATAAGTAACATTACAGAACATGCAGCCTAAAATACTGCTGTAAATCACAGGGAACAGCACTTTTCATTTTTCATAGCACAGTAACTGAAAAACTTTCCTCTCCCCATCTTCTCTTTCTCTTTTCCCAATTACAATTCTTTGTTTCCCCTCACTAAATTTGCAAGGGAACTTTGACAAACAAGTCAAACCTCAAACTCTGTCTCTTGTTGTCTTCTACATTAAATTACAGAGACCTCATTTCAGTAAAACCCTCAGTAAAGGTGGGCTTCATTGTACTATGAAACAAATGGAGTCTTGAAAAAAAAAAAATCTCAGTTCTAGTTTTCTTTTTGTAGGAAATATAACAACGATGACAAACCACAAACCACCAGCTGGCAAGGTGGCAAACAAATACACCAAACAGAACTTCTAAACTACATCAGAGGTTTCCTACGTTGAAACAAATCCAGCAAGTGTAAGTTATTGGTTGAGAAATGCTGTACAGGATACTAATGAGAGCATTAAACACTCACAGTAAAAATATCTTCAGAATTGACTAAGATGTCCAAGACCTCTCTTCTTTTCAGCTGGAAAAATCATAAGAAAAAAAACACTAACAGGTTTTCTTGGTTTTTTTTTAAAGGCATCTTACCATTGCAGTGTCGCTGGAGTTGAATGTGGTTTTGATGCTCTATTATTTTCTTTTTCCTCATCTGTTAAGAAACAAAAAAAAAAAACGCTATGTAATTTCAGTGGGAATTGCTCAGGCATTTCTGAACTGGTAAGGAATTCTGAAATATATAAAAAAATATTCTCAAGTGCCAAAGCTTTCTCAAAATATTGGATGAATTATGGAAATGTAAATAACAATATTCCCTAGGCTAGCAATCTGTAGATACTGCTTAAGGCAATAAACCTTGCAAATACCGCTGATATTAAGAGCAGAGTAGTGTGCAGAAATAATGACATTGGAAAGGATAAATTCATATGAAGAAAAGCAAGCAACTCTTAGACCTCAAGCAGAATGTCAGAACATAAAAACACTTTTACCTGATTTAAGGCAACAGTTGCTTTATCCAAGTTTTGTATTAGACAGAGCATTTAATCTTATGGAGTTCATCCACTGTTGGGATCATAATATACAATACGCACTAGATGTTTATAAATTCACAAAGATTAATTCTAAATGAGACAACCTGAAATTAAAGGTATCCTATAAGATATTTCATTCCTTTTTCAGCTAATTTCTCTGGTAGTATTCCTCATTAGCTGTTTCCAAGGTAACTCTCTGATTTGCTGCCTTACCGAAAATTTGAATGAAAGATGAATAAAGAAAACTGAAACTCCTAAAATACTGGATTCTTCCTAGTTCACATTAATTCTTTTGAAATAATTTAAAAGCGTTTATAGAATAATTCCTATGAAATTGTGACTTGTGAAACATACAAAGCAATCCTAAGTGAAAGCTGGCTTGAAGGACAAACAGCATCTCCAGAACAGTATTCTTTGGAAAACACTGCTGCATCAAACATGGGTTGATATTTTAACTTTGTCCCCGATTAAAGCATTAAGTTTAGAGGGCTTTAATACCTAAGTGATGAGGTAAACCACGCTGCAAGTCTCATTTCATCATACTGTTAAGTTTTAAAAGTTATTTAAGTGAGCCTTTAGGACAGTGAATCTTAAGCAGGCCAGGCTGTCTCCTCTGAACATCAGACCCCGCCAGGAGGCCCTTTGTGCAGTCCCAAGAACCGACGCACACAAAGAAAACTCCACTTTGGAAAACACCATGTTCAGTCTTCACGCCACAATATTTCTTTCATTACATATAGGGCAAGTTGTGCTAACTGAACATCCTTTAACCAACGAGGCAGGTCCCCTGAACGTCAGGAAAATCCAGATTTACAGTTACCCGCAGACACTGCTCGCAGCCCCTCTTCTGCATCTGCATGACAATGGGCCTCTAATTATTGCACCGCACACTCCTTCCCTGCCTTTCAGGGGCCCGCTTTTATTCAGCGCATAGGACCAACATACACATTTCAAATCACTTTTAAATTGTGGTTTTCGTTTGTTTCTCCTAAACAAGCGGTCGGCATGCAACAAACCTTCGGCACACAGCGCCTGAATGCCGAGCGGCTGCGGCTGCCGCAGGCTGCTGATGCGCCACAAGCAGCCCCCGGCCTCGCCGGCAGCGGGACAAATGCCTTCTCTGTAGCGGGAGGCAGAGCCGTGCTGCACAGATTTAAACCACTGGGTGGGTAAAATAGTTGGGGCTGCCTCCTCTCACACCATTTTCTCCTCCTTGCCCTTAACTGATAGCACAGACACCCTAACAAGAGCTTACTTGGCTCCAGCCTTTCCTGAAGGGAGCCTTGGGAAGGAGGGCACAGCCATGTTAGCCCTGCTTTGCTGTGGGAAGAGCTTTCTGGATTGAGTTTTACATTTTTACAGGCAGCAGGGCATGAGGGACCCTGGTTCAGAGGAGCAAGAGCACCTGTTGGGAGGACAAGTGAGACCTGGCATGGAAGGCATCATAGTCACCATGAAGGAGCAACAGGCAGGAGCACTGTCCAGTCCTGGAGTGAAGGTGCAGGAGGAAGGGCATTTCCCCTGCGTTACTAATGAAAATGATATCTGTCATCCTGTCGCCTCGCCAACAGGGACCCGTAACACAGGGCACTGCAGCACCTTTCTACTGACTGGAGGGACTCAGGCTTTTGTTGTTGCAGGGAAGAGGAACCACAGCCAGGTAAAACCACCAGCACTGCTGCCTTAGGTACCAGTCTAAGGGGGGGGTCCAATCCTCCTCCTGTGTGCCACTGTCTTGTTCTAATTAAGGTTATTGCTTCTCAGGTGAAAGTTAACCCTTTTTTTAACCAGTACTTTTTATGTCAGTGTCAAAGCCTTCCATCCACTGGTTTAAGTTCAGTGTACAGTTGGTTTCTACCTCACGGGAAATAGAGGATGCAAAGTGCAGAGGCTGGGAGCCACTGATGTCAATAACCCCTCGTCTAATGTGAAGACCTGAAACCTCTGCCTGCAAAACCAAGAGGTACAACTCTCCCCTTCCTGAAATAAAGCATGTTCTTTTGTGATTTAAGGGGACTAGTATTAAAAGGTATGCTATTAGATGGTTTTCAGCTGTGCTAACTACACTCAATTTTCCTCTAGATATGTGACACACAGCCAATATCTAAATTGTGTTAGACTCGATATTGGAGTCTCTACACCTCTTCCATCCCACCTCTAGTTGTTTTTCACTCACATTGAAGAGTGAGCACCTGTGAGCAGGTGCTTTACCTAACCTGCCCTCAGACACACTGCAAGCCAGCCATACTCAGCTCCTCCCACCTAAAGATTTGTTTTAACAACACAAACAATGATTATCATAAACTGCAATTTAAGTGTCCCTCCTGAGGTATGTTTGCTTCCTGGGGATCCTTCAAGACTCTTCAGCACCTTCCACTGTCTCTTAAAACCAAGAAGAACAATGAACTTTGAATTTATTAAAAATTCTTTTAATGCCATTTTCTATCAAAATATTACCCATTGAACAACTGGACTTTCAACAAAACTGTATTTTTCACAGTTAGTGCTTGTCTCCCCCAAAATCAAGTCTCTGTACAATAAAATAGGACATTGTTGTTTTCTGCTAATGGACCAGCTGTCAGCTAAACTGTTTCTCATTTTTGCCATAAATAGATGGAAAGAATTGCACATGGTATAGGAATGGAGGGGACCTAGAAATACAAACTTTCACTATTGCATATGCAAGCACTTTGTTCTGCCCTGTACAGTTTAACAATATAATCTCATCAGATTGTTGACTAACAAAGAATAAGTATCCCTGTTCCTTAAATTTTAATTGGTAACAGTGCCCTTAATGACTTCCCTATTGAGCAACGAATGTTTTGTGTAACTCTTGACTCAGGTCTGATCCCAGATGTGTTTGTACATCATGAAAGAGCTAAGTGATGCTGCTTTCCCTTACTTTTTGACCTGTCATTTTATCAGTCCCCATCAGAACAATACTGTAGGTTAAAATGAACCCACACCTTTTAAAATTCTTTTAAAATCCAATCTATTTTGTAAAAAAAGGAAACAAAGACACTGAGAAGCCTTGTTTTGAGGCATTGTCAAAGAACAGACCCAACAATTCTTCTGTGATAAATCCAAAAGGACTTGGTATCACAAAGAAAAGTCCTGCTCCTGATGCACGGCTGCAGGTTTTCATACATACGGCAACTGCATAGCACCTCAGGGAGAAACCATTTGCTAGGAGCAGGTCTAATGTGTTGACTCTCAGTAGAACAACCAGCATTCCGTGCAAAGGTATATTCAAGGTACCTGATTAGGTGAGGAACCTAATCAGGTAGTCATCCCAAACTGAAAGCAGGTAATAGCTTAGATAGTTGCAAGTACTCAGCACAGAAGAGGCCTTCAAAGGTATTAAAAACTGGGATCATCAATTACTACAAAAAGTAGCATTTACTTGGCTTCCAGAGATATCAGAGAACCTTTTTCTTCCCACCTTCCATGGAAATTTCTTTGCTAACAGCTCCATCTTTCTCCTTTCAGAATTCTGTTTCAAAGCCATCACAGTAGAGTTAAGTTTGTACCTTCTGCATGTGTCTGTGGCTTTCCCTGAACTCTCAGTAGTATCTTCTAACTTCTGCTGTCTTATTTTAGGTACATGTCAAGGGATTTCTTGCATCTTGGATCAAGATGTGGAAACAATAGGAGCGATACTCAGTACATCTGTAAGCATGCTGCCTTAAACACAGTGAGTGGAACAAGCCAAAGTGAGGACCCTGCATTAGCACACCCTTTTGTAGTTTCCAGTACTGCCTGCATGTCTCAAAACCACTAAGAAGCTAACATGTTTATATAGATAAAATCCTTCCCTTGGTTCAGGTAGCTTCACACCTTTCAGAGGAATAGGTTCCTCCTCTATAACCCCTGTAGTCCAGGTTCTGACCAGGTTCTGACTCTTCTCAGAAAGTGACTTGCCCTTAGCTAAAATTAAGTAATAGTAAGAAGCTCCCCTGTCTCTTTTTACATGTAGCCATAAATAAAATTCAGGCTTGTTAGCATGTATTCTATGCTTTTAAAATAATGGGATTTTTTAAATCCCTGTCAGGAACATGGGAGCATAGTTCTAATTGAGCAGCTCTTTTTTTAAAACATTTTTTCACTGGAAGAGTAAGAGGTTTACTTCCAAAAAAACAACCAAAAAAAACAACCAGAAACTCTTGGATAAGTCCCTTTCAGCCAGCTTGAACATGGATTTTGATCACTGCTTTTGAAGTACAAAAAGTAGTCTAAACCTTTTATCTCATTTAGACTGTCTACACATTCACATTTCTAAACATACAAGAAAATTTGGACAAGCAACCTTCCCACTTCATCATGTAATGTCACAACTCCTTCCCCATGGAACTGAAGTTGAAACTTTCATAATCATTGAACTGTATTCTTCCAGACCACTGTTTCAGTCTGGAGAATCTGACAGGATGCATGGTACACAGAAAATACTGTGAGGGGTTTTTCAGTTATTCGAGATAAGGTTGCATCATTCCTTTTTCCTGTGGATCTTTTGACTAACATGTAGAGTGTTGAAGTGGTGGGATGAAAAACATTTAAAAAACTGGAAAGTGAAATCAAATTTATGTAGAATTTTAATAGTGTAAAAGCTGTGCTTTGGGAAGAGTCATAAAAGATTCCAAGAGAATAAGAATCTCTTCAAGAAGCAGCAGGACCATGGGAATCCACGGTTATGAGTCATTGCTTCTTTTCACAATGTAATGTATGTTCAAGAGGCCTGGATGGAATAGAAGATTGCAAAGGATCCCTGTGGCCTGAAGTATGGTTCAGTAGCATACTTCAGCTGAAGAAAAGGAGAACAGCTAAACTATTACTCTTGTCCTAAAACCCCATGAACCCCATGAAAGCATGATACTGAGTACAAATACGATGAGTTCACAGTGCAAATTCTCATAGCCTTTACTGGATGCAAGGCCAAAAAAAGGAAACCCAACACCAAACCCACATTTTGTCTGGTAGGGTCCAGCTAACAGCTACTTTATGTATTTAGAGATAAAAAAAAGTAGTCAAGAGAAAGATGGATAATGTCTTCTTTCAGCTGCAGAAGAAAACTAGAGTTCCATTGACAATAGCAATGTGACCACCATTCTGAGGAATTCAAGTAGGGTTACATACATTTTCTCCAAACATTTTGCCTCCTGCTGGGAAGGAGTAAGTAGTACAATGATTTCTAAGGTGGAACTTCTAGTTTATTCTGGATTTCACAGATTATTGGTCTTTTTACTGCTGGGCAAGCGAGTTTTTTTTTTCTTTCATAGTCTTTCTTCTTTCCCTTCTCCATCTCCTACCTCACCACCCAAAACAAGGATGACTTTACAGGTGGATTAATTCTCTTATCTGCACTGCAGAAATGCTGGTATCAGTACACAGGAAGCATCTGGAAGAACTGGCTATTAAGAAGAAAACTAGATGAAATCAACTCTCATTTGGGTTTCCATTATATACTGTGATAATGCCTTCTGCACACAAATTGTGGGATAAATTCATTTATATATTTGTTTTATCAGGTCTAAATGTGCCACTTCCATTATCACTTGCCCCTTAATTCCAGTACCAGCAAACAGAATGAAAATACATCCTTGTCAAAAAAAAAAAAAAAAAACCAGCCAAAAAACACCAGCCATTGTCTGAAACACCTGCTCTTGGTAATGCAAGGGCCCCTTCCTACTCTCCCTAGGTATGTGGAGTTTTTCTCATGCTCACATGTAAACTGAAAGCATATATAACTACCCTTAGTTGCAGCTAGGTTTGCTACTACCTATTTAGGGTAACAGACCTAGAACAGAACATAGAAGACAGCATAATTATGACACTGTAATTTTTTTTTTAAATATAGCTAGTGGTACTAAATAATTACCTTGACAGCAGTGCCTTGAACTGTAAGTCTAAGGAAAAGCTCACTAAAGTCCATAGGGTTGAATCCTAAATCCTGACCCTATTAGGAGTCTGAAGTCACATTCATCAGACTCTTTCCATCCCTTTCTCAGTGGCATCAGACTGAAACGTGTTTCGTAAGTCTCACAAGCTCTTGTAAAATGGAAATTAACGAGTGAATATTCTTTTTTGTTTGTTTTTCCACTATAATTCACTACAGTTTTAAAGAGAAACTGATTTCTAATTCCTTAATTTTAAAAAGCAAAAATTCAAACCTGTCCAAGTTTTATTGTCCATCTGTAAGGATTCTTGTTCACTGTTTTTAGCCTGGGAGTCATGAATAAAACCCACATTTCTAGCACCTCCTTTCTCCTTCTGAAGAGAGATTATCACAGAAGAAATCCCAGGACAAGTAAGAGTAGGGTCCCAGTATAGCAAATTCCATGATCCACTAAAATACTGTGCTGCAAGGCATGTGAATTTTGTTGTGACATCAAAATAAAGTAGTTCTCTTAAAATGAAAAAGGGGCACTCAGCAATGAAGAAGTTACTAAAAATACTTTTTCTAAGCTTAGGTGCTTGAATATAATAAAAAAAATGTGAGTTTTTCTGAATTAAAGAATTCAGTCTGTATTAATGTCTTATAACTTGAACTAACATACTAACTGCAGGGAGGAAAACTAACATGAAGAGTATTTTGCTTTGGGCAGATTGAGTAGAATAGAAATTTCATGAGCAGGGAAAACAAAATTATAAACTAAAAATTGTCCTAAAACATAAAAAAGAAACAGTTAAGTTATTTTAAGGTATTTGGGAGTCTTTTTTAATGACCCGTTATTAGAAACCTAGATCTAAAATTGCTATAACTAGAAGAGATAAAAGTAACTATTTTAAAGTCAACTAGATTTATAGATGTTTCTTCTCGGTGACTAAAAGGGAAGTCATACCATGTTTTAATGTTAATTCTTTTAATCCAATTAATACTTAATTCTTAAAAGAAGGGGTTTATACATATGATTTTATACAGTAGTATTGAAAAACAGCACAATTTTTCCTGTATTTCAACCACACGGTGCTCACTAGTGAAAAGCAAAACAGATGGTTTTACTCATAAGCTAATACTAACAGCATATTTTAGAGGTCATCCAACTTTTACTCAGTGACAAACAAATTATTCTGGTTGCTTTAACTAACAGATAATGCTATTTCATTTTCAATAATGCAAAAGAGCAAATATTCCAGGGGAAAAAAAATAAATTACTGAAATGATTGGATGTGTCAAGTGAGTTGACTCTTCAAACTGCTTAGTATTAAAAATATCTCCAAGATGCAGCGACTTATATAGCAGGAAATTAGCATTTGGACACGTTCACACTCAGTTTAAATGAATGACAAGTTACTTACTTTCGTCGTTAGAAACATTCCCCAGAGAGGTGTGACTGGAATAACGTTTGTTTTCACTTTCATTGAGACATCGCTCAATCCAACTCTCTGTAAAAGAACAAAGATGCTCTTTTTTTATGTTTGTCTTTGCATAAAACTAAACAAAGCATCGGTTTTCAACAGATGGTGTGCTGTAGCATTTCTGTTCAAACATGCTCCATCTGAGGTAATTTGGCAAGAAAATCCTTTCTTGCTTTCAAACTTTGCTGTTGCTTTTTAGTTTCATTTTTTGTTTGTTTGTTTTGAAAGGACAGAGGCTGAAACAGTTCCATGCATGTAGCAGAGCTCCTCAGGATGTTCTCTCCCCTCCCCATCACATAAAAAATACATTAAAAAAATAATCTCATGTGGGGAACTGAAACACATAAATTACATTAATTTCTTAGTCTGTCAAAAGCTTATGTACTGGAGTATTTCTACTTTTTCTTTTGAAAAAAAAACCTCTTAACATGCATAAAATCAATCATTCATATGAATTTTTGTTACAGCAGAGCTTAAACTGTGATCTCTGAAATCCAGTCCTACAGCCCCATTCACATTAGTGTCATCCCAGGCCCTACTGAGATCTTTTCCACGCTGCTACAAGTCCAATGTGGCAAGTCAGCAGCTGCTGAGTTGCTCAAATCTTTGTCACTCCACAGCATGTACTCAACTATTCCTCTCCTTCTTTCTTTTTTTCCAATGTATTCACATCAGCAACATGAGGCACAGCGTTACACTGATTTGATTCTGATGTTCTTTCTGTAAGCTATAACATACATCCCCTGATAACTTTAGAGGATGCAGCAGGCCCAGTAGAATTTACTGTTACAGGTCTTCAGGGCTAAAGTTGCACCTTCCTGTATGTTTCCTTGGACAAAGATTGAAATACGAGTCCTTGAGTTTGCCTGAAGTCCCTGGATATTGCTACAACAGACTGACTTTCCTCATAAGATTATTTTTCAAGGGCATGCATTTGGGCAGAAATGAACTTATGCTCACAGAGCTCCCTGTGGTCAAAGCAAGGCAATGGCTAGGTGGGAAGGCTGCAAGGTAACCTCACAAGTTATGACAGGAAACCACCCCACTGAGCGAAGAGATGCACAAGAAATAAGGAGAAACAGGCCTCACTGTCAGTAAATTGCCAGATACAGAAAAACCTTCAAAGACATGGAAATGGCTTCAAATTCCTTTCCATAAGCCACCCCACAAAAACATCAGGCTACCTGCACAGCACAGGCAGCAGCCTGCCCAGCCAAAGACCATCACAGCAGCAAGCTTGAAGGGAAAGCAGAAACCCAGTGTCTTGGGAAAGCTGCCCATCTTGTTTATAGAAGGCAAAAGTTGGTATGACTTCATTTCAGCACTGGATGCCAATAAATTAATACATGAATAGTCATGGCAAAAAAACATCCTGCAGGAAAAAAATGCTTCTTAACTCACACAAACTTGTGTATATTCCTCTGTACACACACGCTCCGCTGCCACACAAACGAAAGGGCAATGGCATCTGCATAGGACGTCAGAAAGGGTCTGCTGAGAGCCCTCCAGGGTTGATTTCCAGGCCCTGCCATGAGACTCCAGGTACCGTTGCTTTGTGTGCTTCTTGTTTTCAGGCAGCACAAGAGAGGTGTGAGGCAGCTCAATGCTATTCCTTTCCTTCTGCCCGTTTGCCACATATTCACAGCAGGAAAATGCTTGCAGTCCTACCTTCATCGATACAAGCACGTCCCTATGTGTGTCTTCATCATTCACCATAAAACTGCCCTGTGCATAAGAAGCCTCCAACCATGCTGCCTCTTCCCTACAGCCTGCTCCTTTGAGGTGCTTCTCTGAAAATCAGCAAAAATAACTCTTGCTGTCAATAGATTTTCTCAGGATATTTCTTCTCCTATCAAATTCAACGCAGCCTTATAGAAATAGCACTTGCATGTTGCTAAAACTACAACTTAAAACTTGCCAGCGAGGACTGCGCTGTCTAATCAGTTCCTGCTCCATCACCAACCCCCAAGCCTGCAGCGGCTCTAACATTAAGGCGTTCCATTCTCATGCCGCTCAGCTGCTTTGGATGGGGGGTGTATCACCTCCTTGTCCAAAGGCCAACACAACAGTACGACTGCTTCATGCTGGATTTCTTTTACTGCCCTAAAACTGAGCTAATACCATTTCTCCTTTCCCATTTCAACACTGTGAGCTGAGGGACAGGAGCTTGGATCATCACTACAAGGTGAAGAGAAACTTGCTGCTGAGGGTAACATCAGAGGTGCAAGAAGCCTTGAGAAAGATTATGCTTCCTCCTCCTTTCAGTGCACAGCCATGGCTGTACATAATTCCCTTGGCTCTGAGCCCAGCTGCAGGGAGTAAAAGCAAAGGCGGCTGCCACTAGCGCCAAGGCGAGACCGATGCCCAGCTCTGCCCTTTCTTTTCCTCCCGGCACCGAGAGCTGGGAAGCTGGGATGCATCCTCTTCCCTCGGCAGCGGAGAACTGGCAGCAGCCATCTTTAGTCATGTTCCCTGCCTAAGTAGTAGGGAAAAAACTTTTTAAGTATCAGTGATACAGTGATATCACCGATCAGTGACAATTTTCACCATCCTTGTTCACCTACTGTCTCTGGTAGCTGCACACACACCCCTTTTTCATCGGTAAAGCAACCAGTTTACACTGCAAGATACAAAGTCTCCGGAGTAAGGCACCGTTACTATTTAATTATGTACTGCAACTCCTTTGGTCCTGAATCACCCTGGTTCAGCTCACTGCAGCCCGAGTCTGGCTTTGTCTTTGTGGCCTTGCATTTAAATAGCTGATGGAAATTCTTCAAGCCTGAAAAGATACACGACCTGTCTGGCAGCAAAGAATGAAGAAAACTAACTCTTTTGAGCAAAAATGTCAGGGAGTTTATGGCAAATTTGTCAAATGATTTGGCAGATGACAAAATGCAACAAAACCAACTAGCTATTTAGAGGCTGGTTTACCTCATAAACCAAGGGATGTAAGTATTCTAGTAAAAACCTTTGTTTAATAAGTAGTTATTTTTAACTGTTTGTATAACAAAAAAGTTTTTACAAAGCTTTCAACTCCCCACATTAAGAATGCCTTCAAGTATTAAAAGAAAATATAAACACAGTTTTGCTGAAATTTAAAATACTTCCTTCAGAAGCCTACAGATCCCAAATACAATAGCACCTGCCTAAAATAAAACAAAAATGAACAATAAAAAAAGAGAAAGAAGCAAACAGTATAAAAAAAAATCAAAACTAATTCTGTCTTTTATAAGTTCTTGTAGAGTTAACGCCATTAGATCGTGCCCCAGTGTAACAAACACACTGTGTAGAGCCCTGTGCACGTTGAATGCCCTCATCCGCATGACACAGGGGTGTACACCTCATCTGCTCTGGGGCCTGCCCCAGGAAGCCTGGCTGCAGAGCTGGAGGAAGAGACCCATGGCTAACCCCTGGTGTCTCCAGGCTGAGTTCTCATCACTTGCTCCCAAGGCTGATGCCAATCACACTGGACAGCACTGCTCTAGACAAGATTTGAGACACATGGTATGGAAGGGTCTGTGTGATTAAAGCCTGAATTATTGCACTTGGACTTTACAATCTTCTCATAAACAGGATTTCACATCAGGAACAGTCATAGAGTAACGGACAGTGTAGGTGGTGGCTAAGCAGAAGTGCATATCAGACCTGATAACAATGATGAATCAATCACACAACATGTAGAAAAACTGTATTTCTAGTGGGAAGTGCTTTTGAGAGCAAAAGAAAGCATACCCTGTCTCACAAAAGATACATTTTTATTCACTGAGTTTTCAGTCTCTCAGGCATTTCCTCTCTCTGCTCTCTAGGACTCCTTCCCACCCTGAGCCCCAGCATACTCTACCCTGAGTTGTTCTAGCACTAGCCAAAAGACATCCAGGCAAAATAAATAGATTAATTAATATCTAGCAGTAAAATGTGGTTACTCTGTATTTTACATCCAGTTACTGTGACACAGTAAGGAAACCATCACAACCTATTTAGAAAGAATGTAAATAAAGTGCAGTTAATGGTATTTGGAAGATGCCCCTTTAAATACTACATCACCTCTTTAATTTTGCAAAGATTAAAAATGAATTGTAGTGAAGCACACAACAATATCCCTCAGCATTACAATTTTCACGGTATAATTTTGTATACCACTGACTACAAACACGCGTGTGTCTTCAGGATTCCAACGTGAGGAAAAAGAGATAGTTATTCAAGTTGCAATAATTTTCCCAGTGTCAATTTTCTGACCAAACAACTTATTATGGCACAAACAAAAAATATAAATTGTTCCAAATGAACTGCTGAAAGACAGATTGAAAACAACTACGGAAATGGTTCCTGCCCTCATTTTGCCTCTTCCCTTTTTGATCCTAATCTTGCTGAGACTGACACATCCACTGAACCTCAAGCATGAGAGTATTTTTCTTCCTTAAATGTGCCCACCACACTTCTAGCGACAGGAGGTTAAACTGAGCCTTTTTAATAAAGAAAAGTTGGCAGAACTGAGGCCTGCATGAGTCCCCTTCACCCCCACCAAGCTGTTTCTCTTCACACTATATATGTATGATGCTTCAAAGACCAAGTTGGGAAGGCAGGCCTGGGACCCCCTGAAATAGAGTCAAACACATGAGAGCTGCTCAGGGAAAGGAACTTCCCTGAACTACCTGAAAAGGGAAGCATGAACTTTAAAAACATAAATATAAATCTTTGACCAATTATTTTGACACATTGCACCCATCAGAAAGAAGGGTTTGCTCCTGGAAGACACCTCTGAAAGGCTTCTCCCTACAGCTGAAGTGGGAAAATACAGTAGAGGTGCCTGCGTACTGCCAGTACATTTAATGAGATAATTACTCCCTCTTGTTTCTATAATGGTTATTGGCTTAGCATGGTTGCAGTCCAGAAAATAAAGCATTCATTGCTCTTACATGTGCATGGCCATAGCAAGAGCAGTGTGCGAGTCACCTGGGCTCTGCTGTGTGGAGGGGAAGAGGAGGCAAGCCTATCACAGCTGGTGGTGGCTTCTGCAGCTGCTGTTC